ATTACTACCAACATCTTGAAATAAATTTAAAAAATAGTTTATTATTTTATAAGAAAATTACAAAATATATTTTACAATATTACACAGTAAAAAAAATCAACTCTAAGCAACACTAATTAGAGTTCAACACTACTTTGGAAAGGTTCTAATTTTAGAAAGGTACTTTTACTCTTTTAGTGCAAACTTCTAGTGTAAATTAACCCCATTATTTGAGTAAAACCTAATGGTGGTAGTGAATAAAACGAAAAGGTAAGTAAAGAGAAACATTTATTTGGAACAAAAATCTATGACAATTATCAAAATCGGTGCCTTTTAAAATATAATTTTATATTTGAGTCGTATGGCTGGCTTAAGCAAAATGGTTCCTTAAAACGTAAAAGTTTTAGATCAATGCAATGTTTTACTGGCTGTCAACTTGTAAGCAATGAATTATCTTGAGAATTCATCAGTAATCCATTTTTCTGTTATAAAAAATGGGTGATCCCATTGGTAGAGAGGCGTCAGGCGGCTGTATGTCGGGGATTTACCACACGTGTACAAATTTTTCATAATATTAATAAAAATGTAGGTAGCTATAGGTTAATATAACAACCATTACGCTTGAAAATAAAAAGTAAATCAAGTTTGTATGTATTTATATTATTAATGTTACAAGTACCCGACCTACTGCCGTAAATTATTGATATATAATATAGGTCGGGTATGGACATCCTTTTAACATATTGGTATTTAATGAGTATTACGGCTTAAAGAAAAAGGAAGTATAACCTCTTATGGATTCACCGTAATTAAAATCTAACTGAACAAAAATGCCACACTTCCACAACGCTGTATCTCCGGATATGCACTGCGTAGGTAGATAGGTACCAACCAAACATTTTAAAACGCATTTCGGTTATTACCAGTTTTTTCAGTCTATTTTGCCACTATTGGTGTAATTTAACTTTAATTGTGATACAATGTGCACTGGTAGTGTAAAGAAAAAAGAGCTCTTAGTAACATCAAAACAGACAAAGAAATTGGCATGCACTGTAGTGTATATTTTGTCACTATTTAACACATTAAGGGGTAATAAACACTCGCATTAAGTTTTTCTACCCTTTTGATTTAGTTATAGACACCCTGTAAAAACCCTGAAAATTAATATTTCATATTTAATTTGAACGTTAACATTCCGTAAAGACACCTACGGAAAAGTTTCAAATCCACCTGACTTGGTTTTCTCCTAAGAAAACTTTGACTGTCATAATTTTGCGAAATGAATACACCCACCTCTGAAACTCAAACGTTTCGGATCCTTAAAATGACAGGTTTATTATTTATTAACCCTCCGGTGTATAATTTGTAAAAAGAAAGAACTAACTTATGTATGAATATGTAGAACATATTTTTGTTTCCAAACTTTCGTCTCAACTTTGTGCAATTTAAAATGGAATCAACTTTAATGAAGTTTTAACCATGTTTCATAAACCAACATGCATGTTTCAAGTAAAATTAGTTTTGGTTCGAAATAAATATACATATATGTATATGTACGAGGTGTGTTCAGAAAATAACGGGAATTGTTAAATTTCGCGGGTTCGGAGGGTCCGGTTGTCATACAATTTTCTTTATTATGTTGGTATACATGCCCCCGAAGTATGATAAAAACTTTAGCTGTTTTCATCGTTTACTTTGCCTGTGGCAGCCGCTAAGGTTAGACGTGTTTTATGAGCTCGGCGATTTTCGTTCTTTAAAAGAAATGGATCAAAGAATTTGTATCCAATTTTGCTTAAAAAATGAAATAAATTCTGTGAAATGTTAACAAAGGCTGCTATAAGTAAAACAAGAGTTTACAAGTGGTATAAGAGTTTCCAAGATGGCCGTGAAGACGTTGAAGATGACGAACGCCCCGAACGCACAAGCACATTAACAACCGATAAAAACATGGAAAAAGTGGAAGAAATGGTTATAAACCATCAGAGAAGTCGCTGATGATGTTGGTATATCGATTGGCTCATCCCATGAAATTTTTTCGAATGTTTTGGGTATGAAATGCGTGGCAGCAAAATTTGTTCCAAAATTGTTAAATTTTGAACAACATTTTTGGCCAAAAACAATACTGTAATGATGCCCCAGCCTCCATATTCGCCAGACATGCCTCTTTCTGATTTTTCCTATTCCCAAAAATAAAGAGAACCTTAAAGGGCCGTCGTTTTGCAAGCATAGATGACATTAAAAGCGCATCGCTGAAAGAACTAAAGGCTATCCCAAAGATCGAGTTTTAGAAGTGTTTCGAGTATTGGAAGAAGAGCTGGCACATGTGCATAATATCCAATGGGGACTATTTTGAAGGCGACAACATTAATGTAGACGAATAAATAAATATTTGTTTCAAAAAACGAAAATTCCCGATATTTTCTGAACACAGTTGTCTGCATAAAGTTATTGTAATGGAGCGCCAAGTAAGAAATATGAATCGTGATGAATGTGTACGAATTATTACGTTGGCAGAGCAAGGATTAAGCTACCGTGCCATAGCTCGGAGATTGGGAGTTAATCATATCTCAATATCCCGTGTTATTCGACGTTTTGAAGAAACCAACGATCATAACAGACGTGATGGGCAGGGAAGGCATCGAATGACAACAGCCGTACATGATCGTTTCCTGTATTTGCATGCTTTGAAAAAACGATTTGTAACAGCAAGAAATCTACAGGTACAACTTAATGCTACTCATAATTTTCAAACAAGTGTGTCCACCGTAAGACGTCTTCCGGAACAGAATTCGACCTTCAGAATTCCAGCAACAGGACCGAAGTTAAATGCAAATCATAGTAGAGCAAGACTGCAATTTGCCAGATAACATGTTGGCTGGAATATTGAGGATTGGCAGCGTGTACTATTTACAGACGAGTCCAGGTTTTGTTTATTCAGCTCTGATCGACCAGTAAGGGTTCTCCGACGTCCAAATGAGAGATTTTCACAGTGTAACATTCGTGAAACCACGCTGTTCTGTAATGGTTTGGGGAGGAATTTCCTTGAGAGCTCGCGCAGAACTCGTCATTGTTCCTGGAGGTACCATTTTACTGATGCAGGATAACGCAAGACCTCACACCGCTCATATAGTGCAAGAGTACTTACATGAGGTGGGTGTTGAAACTTTAGACTGGCCTGCAAATAGTCGGGATCTCAACCCCATTGAGCATTTTTGGGATAATATGGGTAGACGACTAAGAAATCATGATGCCTTGATGACGTAGCAAATATGCTACGAGAAATATGGAATGTCATTGATCAAGGCGAGATTAGACATCTGGTTTCGAGTATGAGCCGTCGATGTGAAGCCTTAAGTAGAAGTAGAGGCGGAAATACGCGATATTTATATTCTTTAGTGTTGGTTTTATTGATTTTGTTGATATTTGTATTGTTACAATCGTTCTTTTTAAATTTTTTTTTATTAAACTGGAGTTCTTTAATATTTAACTGTATATTTCTTTTAAAAATAAAGATAACGTGGTGAATTAAAAAACAAAATGTTAGGAGAAGATGGGGGAATAGTTTGATTATAAGAGACATATGCTGTTATTGCTGGTACAACCCACAGGGCGTTTCAAATTTACAGGAAAAACCTTATTATTACACTGTTTAAAATTTCATGACCATTTTAACACCAATTTAACACCATACATGGTCTATATCGATACAAACCAAAATGGTGTTAAATATGGTTCGTTGGTCCGGTGTAAATTCAAATACTAAAATAGTGTTAATTTAACTTTCACACAGTATAAAAATAAATTTTACCTGGTGTAAATTGAACTCCTTTTCAGTGTTAAATATTATGTGTTTTAGGTCAAATTAAATCATACTTTACAGAAAAAAGGAAAAAAAAGGAAGTTTCTTGACGCATTACTAGTATTTTACCAGTGATAGTTTTATTCCAGTAAATTGAACCTTCAACTCGCTAGAGATAATGGTTTTAGTTCGTTCCACTAACTTAAAATACTTCAAGTATTGACAGCTGTTTCCACCTATTTAAGGTCTCTTTAGTATCGAACAACTTGTAGTGTCACACCAAAGCAAAGGACTACCTGAGCTTATATACTCTTCATGTAAGTCAACAGAGGCGAGATTTAAGAACATCACGTGATCCACACCGCCTTTGCCGCGATCGGTACACACTATGCAACCTGGGTTAATTTAACCAATTAAAAAAAAATAATAATAATCTGGTTTAGTACTGTCAGACTAATCTTTGTTTATATTAACCTTCCCACAGTTGATAAAAATTAAAAAAATACAAAAATAAATACATATGGGTCAACTAAATTAATATAGTTAAATGAACTATTCCTTTTTTTCTGTGTAGGTGCACTTCTCAAATATTTTTAGATAAACACCGTTTTGGTGTTTGCTGTATATCACATTTTCAACCATAATTCATGGTGTTATATTAACACCACTTGGTGTTGGATTTTGACACCATTTTAAAATTACTCTTTACACCACAAATATTTTAAACAGTGTACTCTTGCACCCTGTATATACTCAAAACGTAAATTTGAAAAAATATTTTAGTAAAGGCATCATGATCAAAGAATCAACCTACAATTTAAAACATAAACTACCAAATTCGGTTTGACGGTTAGGAAAACTTTTGAAAAATGTGCACTATCAGTTTCCGATGAAAAAAATGGGATTGTTATTTAGGATAAATAAAAAACTAATTGTTCAATTTTCTGATTTCTCTTTAATGAAGGTTAATTCCAGCAGTTTCACTAGCAATAGAAAAATGCAATTTGCTTATCTTTGGTCTTAAATCATTCTCTGACGGCTTTAAAACGTCAAGATTGGTCCGAATTGCGAAAAGACAATCTAACAATGTCGCAAAATGTAATTTATATTAAAACCTCAGCATACTTGCGTTAATTTCGCATCGCTAACTCTTGTTACAGCATAAACTACTTTTTACAAAGTTTGGTCATTGAAGGAAATACCAAAATATTTGTGGAACTATTTATTAAACCTTTCACTAAGTAAAGTAACAATAATAATACAATAATGCAATCTAAGATTCCCTGGTGTAGAGATAGATGCCGACTATGAGACCATATAGACCCAAGACTTCAGCGAAGATCAGTATGAGTATCATACCAACAAATAGCCTGGGCTGCTGGGCTGTGCCTCTGACCCCTGCATCACCAGCAATACCAATCGCGAACCCCGCAGCTAGCCCAGATAGCCCCACGGACAACCCAGCCCCCAAATGTATGAACCCCTGGTACAGCGAGTACGATTCAGGTGCTTTGATCTTCCCCGCTATAAGAACTGCAATCACGAGGCCGTATATGGCGATGATACCGGCCATAACCACAGGTATTATCGACTTCATGATTAATTCTGGTCTCATCACGGACATTGCAGCGATTCCAACGCCGGATTTGGCCGTTCCGTACGCTGCACCAAGGGAACTGAAGACTATTGCGCTCACAGAACCCATCACCCCAAAAAATGGACCGTAAACTGGCGATTCTTCACTCAAAGGCATTTTTGAGTTTACTGTTATCAATGTGACAACTGCGTTCAAGACATTGCGATTATTACGAATGGTGGATTTTATTGTAATGAGTTGGTAGCACTGATCAACTACATATGACGTCAGCGTTAAGGTCTATTCATACGTACCCAGGCACAATCTAACGCTAGTGTATTGTAGACTGTTTATAGGGGTTGGGGCTGTTTATTAAGATTGAATTATAACATAATTGAGGCCTGTCGGAGCAAAGTCAACAATCTCCCATCAGACTAAAACTGAGTAAATTGAGATAATTGATTTTGGTATTTTAAATTCTAGATTTGTAATTTTTTTTATATATTTTATTGAAATATTGTTGTTGTTAGTCTAGTAGCAAACTACAAGGTCTCCAGGATGCATAGTATAGGTGAAATCTATAATTATAAATTGGAGATTGCTGACTTTGATATGAATTGCTATAGATTGCTCATTTTGTTGTAAACGTTTAAGGAGATTTAGAAAAATAAACAAAAAAATAATTGTAGGTATTTTTTTTTAATGGTTATAAAATTTAACTATACAATTAATGTGAGAAAATTCTGAACTGGACCACATAAATCTGGAATTTCTTCTAAATCTGGGACCAGGTTGCCTCGTGCAAAAAAGTTTTTATAGTACAACTCATCATCTTCTTCCCACTTTGCCCCGCAATGTTTTGACATTATCAGCCTTTTCTTGCTTTACCTTTACGTCTTATTATGGTATAATAGCACAAAATAAACATGATATCTTTTTTTATAATTCTTAAAACAATAAAACGTATATATACCTATTTTAAATATATTTTTAAGGGCAATTTACTGCAATAGAACTTAACAGTATGTACCAGAAAAAAACACAAAATTAAATCTCTAAAATACGTTATAACATCAAATGTTAGGATATCAGGTGACACAAATTACTAATTTCTAATGGTGGAATTGGAGATTGTATACTTTGCTGCAAATCTATCAGTGGAGATTGTCGACTTTGCACTAAATGTCATTTTTAAAATAGGATTTTAGGCAGGATTTAGCTCCTTTTGCAGCACATAAACTTTATCATCTTATAGATAATTAGTTGAAGTACAGTCTCCGCCAAAAATCTAATTTTTGACCAAAATTGGAGATTGTCGGTTTTGCTATGACAGGCTTCAATTGTTATAATCTTCTACACTATGCTCCACACCTCAAAGTCCCACCACGTGACTACGTACGGAACGCTTCCTTTAAATTTGGCATTTTAAGCTTTTCAGGTTATGTATCTGTCAATAATTATGACCTGGTGATCAAATGAGGATAAGAAGTGTTTCTATGTTTCTAATGTGCTACATTATTGATCAGCTTACTATTTACTTTAGTTTGTAATTTATGTTTTCAGTTTATATTAACTTAATTCTATCCTTACAAAATTTTTGTGTTGGTCGCTGAATACATATTTAATCTATCGACATTTGTACTATTATAAGTGGAGACGCACTTCATATTGAATTATATCTCAATATTATTAGAATTAGCTAGACGAAATTTCTTTTTCAGTTTGTAGTTTATGTTTTGTTATGTTTATTTTATGTTGAACAAATTCATACAATTATGAAACCAAATACAACAAACTTTTCTCTGTGTACCTACATAAAGTTTTGTCAGTACAAGTAGGTATAAAGCTTCGACTGAATGTTGATCTACATCAAATTATAACTTTAAAATTATTAATAAATCACATGCCATGGGAATATTATAGTTATTTACGTGTCAAGCTTTGTAAATTAATCTTTACGGGCGAGCTGGAAGTTTGTGGGGTGAGCGACGCAGGAGCGAACCCCATAATCCAATGAGCTTAGTAAAGATTAATTGCAAAGCGTAACACGTACAAACTTTTATTTTTTTTTACCTTTAGATAACGATTTTCAAATTTAAAGTTTCAATTAACTTGTCAAATGTGTCATTTCATTTCATAAATTGCTTTTCTACAAGCCTGTAAAACTTTACAGGTCTTTTATACAAGCCCGTAAAATATTACAGGTCTATTCCCATAATGTATCGTTTACTTGGATACAAAAACAACAAAATTAACCTATAAAGTGTCATTTACTAAGAAGGTGGAAATAAAATATTTTTACATTTCAAGTTTTTCTAAAAATTGTTTGTTTTCTTATAATCTAACTTGAAGTAGGTATACCGAGAGGTATGCACATATTTTGTCGTGAATCTCACGAAATGTCCCCCGATGGTGTTACCCCGTGATATTTGATAAAACCTATCCTCCGTGACTGTTACTCTTTCTAGATTAACCTATATGATTTCAAATATCTGTGGTACTAAAAGCATACTAAACATATCAGTTCACCAAGTAAATTAAACACATCCAAAGCAATCGAATCAAATATAAAATATTATTAAAAATTAAAAAAAAATAATTTTTATAACCATTTATGTAGGTGTTACAAAAATTGATTCTATCCTCCGTGAATCTGTTTTTGCTTTAAATTTTATGCAACGGATGGCGCTTTAATCATTTTAAATAAGCAAAAACCTCTGTTTACGACATTATAGATGCACGTGATTCCTGAAGGTCAGTTAGAATTTATATGCAGATGAGAGTGTTGCTGTTTTATAATTCAAAAGTTTAAGTTCATTAATTTGCTATTTAAAAACCTATCCACCGTGAAGAATATCTCGGTAAGGAGATTTTTTTATAAATATTTTATGTTCCTAACCTCCGTGAAGCTATCTTATGTGAAGCTCTAATATTCAAAATGTATGATTTCTTAAAATTCTTGCATTAGTGCAGAATCACTTATGTGATGTTATTACTAGACATAACAAAAAAATACTAAATTTCCAGAAACACAAAAATAGTAAATTACCAGTCGTCTTTGTCGTCAGAGCAAACCAGGTCAGACTTGGAGTCTAATTATTTCCCTAAATTAATTATTAAGGGTACAATGTCCTCGCAATTTAATAACAGTTGGCTTTGCCAACAAGCCTTGTTACATTGTTTGCACAATCCAGTGGTAGAATATGATTAACACAATGTGTTAAATTATTTATAATAATCTGCAACAAACGATGCTCACGGACGAAATGTCAAAATTACAAAAAAAAAACGTCAAATATAAAATGACGCTGACCCATCAATAATATTAAAAGGTGCGCGCTAGCCTTAGAGTATTACCAACTGTCAGACACAAAAAATATCAAGTGAATGGTTTTATTTTCATAATTTCGTAAAAAAACATTAGACAACTCAAAGTTGGTAATGCTCACGACAGATTTGGCCGCGACTGTACTATGCTCCACACCTCAAAGTCCCACCACGTGACCACGTACGGAACGCAGTCTTTTGAAAATTTGGCATTTAAGGCTTTTCAGGTTATGTATCTGTCAAAGTATAGTCAACGAAAGAAATAATATTATGTTTAGGCGTTAAAAATGTATAAATCTTTATAACATTACAATAACAATGGATGGTTTAAGAATTTAAGAATATAAATACTGCATTTAATGAAATTGTAAAGTATATGGTGCCAAATAAGTAATATTTTTGTGCATTTGATCCAAATATCTGGTTTTCTACATAAAATAATTTTAACTAAACTGCATTTATTAAAAAAATCTAGCTTCTCTATTATGGAATAAGAATATCTGTATTAAAGGTAGGTTAATATATTATAACAAAAATATCATCTAATTTTGTAATTTTAAGGTTAGAAAAATTTATTTTGACCAAAATAAATAAGTATTTTGGATTATTTAAAAGACTTTAGGTATAATATGGTATTTAAAAATGTGGTATTTTTTCTTATCCAGCTTAAAGTGTACCTACATAAAGTTTTGTCAATACAAATAGTTAAAAAGCTTCGACTGAACTTGATCTACATCGAAAAATCATTATAACTTTAAAAATTTTAATAAATCACATGTCATGGGAGTATTAAGTATTTTCACATTGCAAGCTTCTCTAAAAATTGTTTGTTTTCTTATAATCTAACTTAAAGTAGGTATGCCGAGAGGTATGCACAAGTTTTGTCATTGGAAGTATAAAAGCTTCAATTTAATTTGAACTATATTCAACAATTATTTAGTATACCTAGATTTTTCTAACCTTAAAATACAAAATTAGATGATATTTTTTGTTCTTATACATTAACCTTTGATACAGATATTCTTATTTCATAATAGAGAAGTTAGGTTTTTTTTAATAAATGCTCTTTAGTTAAAACTATTTTATGGAGAAATGTAGACCCAATGCACAAAAATATCGCTTATATTGCACCTTACACTTTGGAATTTCATTAAATGCAGTATTTATACTCCTAAATTCTTAAACCAACCATTGTTATTGTGATACTATAAAGATTTATTGAATTTTAACGCTTAAAAAAATATTATTTCTTTCATTGACTATACTTTGACAGATACATAACCTGAAAAGCCTTAAACGCCAAATTTTCAAAAGACTGCGTTCCGTACGTGATCACGTGGTGGGACTTTGAGGTGTGGAGCATAGTACATAAATTTGACATTAGTATATCTTTAAAGTATTTGTCATGTCCGAAGCCAATCCAGAGGCGCCATCCTACGCTCCATTCATCGGATCACTTGGGGTGGCAAGCGCCATAGTCTTCAGTTGCTTTGGGGCTGCCTACGGAACATCAAAATCCGGCTCTGGAATAGCAGCAATGTCCGTTTTGAAGCCAGAGCTAATCATGAAGTCCATTATACCAGTGGTTATGGCTGGTATCATCGCTATTTATGGTCTCGTGATGGCAGTTCTTATATCTGGAAAAATTTCTCTACCTCCTAAGTACACGCTGTTTGAAGGTTTTGTGCATTTGGGGGCAGGGTTGTCCGTGGGGCTGTCAGGGCTAGCTGCAGGGATTGCTATTGGTATTGCTGGTGATGCTGGTGTTAGAGGAACAGCCCAACAGCCCAGGCTCTTTGTTGGTATGATACTCGTACTGATCTTCGCTGAAGTGTTGGGCCTCTATGGGCTCATAGTCGGAATCTATCTCTACACCAGAGAAAATTAAAAGTGATTGTATTTTGTAGAGTTTATTTTTATTAATATTAAGTCTAGTTATGAAGAGGTTTTAATACAGTTGTTCAAATATTTGTAATAGTCTTCAATAAACCATATCTTAGTACCTTGAGAAAATAATTACTAGTGTATTATGTTGAAAATAAGTCATGCTAGATAGATAAAATAAAAGTTATCGATGAAAATGTTGTATTGGCTTATTTATAACATTTGAAAAGCAAATCACAGGGATACAAACCAAAGAAGTCCAAGACATTAGAACGACCTGAAATAGAGAAGTTTTGAACGAAGCTCCCGACGACGAGTACCTGTTGATGAAAGTGGCTTTGATAATGGGGATTAGCGATGAATTGGTCAATTTGAAAATAGAAAATATTCAAGACAAAGGCAAATATTTTCACGTAGTTTTGCCAGACACTAAAACCAAGAAATTAAGAAGTTTCACCATACTTGAAGAAGGATTTCCAGTCAACCCGATCAATTTGTGTTTGAGACCAAAGAATACTAGTTCTAGTCGCTTTTCTGTTTTTTTACAAAAATGGGAGGTGGACCAGCCAGTGTGTGGGAATACATACTTTGTCGAAGATACCTTCAAGAATTGCAATGTTTTTGAAATTGGAGGAACCAGCGCTCTACACCGGTCACTGCCTGAGAAGGTCTTCGGCGACTCTTTTGGCCAATGCAGGGGCTAACATGACTACTTTGAAGCGTCACGGAGGATGGAAGTCCTCGACGGTAGCAGAAGGATACCTAGAAGAATCGGTGCATAATAAAATACAAATTGCAGAAAAAATACAAGGTTCTAATGCGTCGGCGTCTTCCAGCTCTATCAGCAGCTGTACCGATATGGGAGCGTCTGGTTCCAATGAACCAACGAATTTTACAATGACTTCAAATTTGAATAAACCGTTAGCGTCTTTCTTTAATTTCGATATCAATGTGAATTCTGCTTGTAATAGTAATAAATCAATAGAATACTACTTTAAAGTTTAGAGTTATAATCCATAACTCACTAGTGATAAAAATATGCATTGTGCATCAACTGAATTAAAGCTATCATTAAATTCCAAAATTCAAATAAAATCAATATTTGTTTTATAATTTGTCGAAGCGGACATTTTGCATTATTTAATATAATTATACAACTATTAATTCAGAGGGAAATAAAGCATACACCGTTTATTTAATGAGTTTGCATTATAATTACAAATTAGCCTAATACAGGGTGTCCAAAACTAGAAGAATTGCTATGCAAGGGACGTTCCAAAAAGTACAGGCTCTGTAGGTAATTTTTTACCAACACTTGAGTTAAAACGAGGACTTGACGTTTAAACTTCAATATTTCGCAGGAATTTTGAATTTTAACATTGGACACAGAACTGACGGGTAAAAGTGAGTACAAAGATTATCTTTTTTTTTAAATTGCTATTATTCGAATCTATGATAAAATATGAAAAGTACATTATTTAATGTTTTATAGTTTGTAGTAAAATTGAAAAATTTAAGATAAATTGAATATATTTTAAAATAAAATCAGTCAAATATTTGATTCAGGAGTTGTGACACGCCAAGGTACCTACTGATGTTTTGAATATTTATTATGTTTTTCTACAAACGTGCTTGTGAAAAAATACATTAAAATTTGGGTGGACAAGTTTAAAAAAACCTGGGTCTTTGGTAATATACTAAAATATTTACAAAAAATATTAAAATACCTACTCTATTGACTAATCATCCATATTTGGATTATCGTAAGTAATATCATAAGGGGCATTTAAATTTTTCCGAAAAGAATCGAAAAAACAACGCACTCTGATATGTGAACAAAAAGCATGAGTGCTGGTGGCAACAAAAATCCGAGTCGAAGAGGAGGATTTTTGCACCTGCACGAATGCTTTTTGTTAAAAAATATTACTTAGCATTGTGTTTTTTCGATTTTTTTCACAGGAAAAATTAGATGCCCGAATGGTATTTGACAAGACTATTTCATGAGTAACAGTTAACAATTAAAATATAAATTGCAATTTTTGGTGACAACAACTGTCAAGTTTTGCCGCGGGTAAACTCGAATAAACTGCTGACAGGTGCTGTCACACAGTTTTTTCACCAAAAAACCATTTGTAATTCAAAATTGCGCGTTTGTGATTGGTGGATATTAAGACGAGGGAAATAGTCTCTGCAAAACTCTTTTATTGGTGTAAATATGGCTTTTTATACATAGACAAGTTAAATTTTCTCAGCATCACTCTCTCTCCCATAAAAAAAATAATCTTAGATTTAACTGAATGATGCTTAAAGCAGGGACAAGGATTTTAAAAATCCTTCTTTGTCCTGTAAAGAAGATTATGAAATGGAACGTCGTAAAAGAAAAGTATTGAACTACACTTGATGTACGGGATTTAATAAATATCTACAAAATTGTTTGAAGCCTTTTTCTTACAGATTATTATATAATATTAAACGTTTTACTGCTTTTATATATACGAGGTGTGTTCAGAAAATATCGGGAATTTTCGTTTTTTTGAAACAAATATTTATTTATTCGTCTACATTAATGTTGTCGCCTTCAAAATAGTCCCCATTGGATATTATGCACATGTGTCAGCTCTTCCTCCAATACTCGAAACACTTCTAAAACTCGATCTTTGGGATAGCCTTTAGTTCTTTCAGCGATGCGCTTTTAATGTCATCTATGCTTGCAAAACGACGGCCCTTTAAGGTTCTCTTTATTTTTGGGAATAGGAAAAAGTCAGACAGAGGCATGTCTGGCGAATATGGAGGCTGGGGCATCATTACAGTATTGTTTTTGGCCAAAAATTTTGTTCAAAATTTAACAATTTTAGAACAAATTTTGCTGGCACGCGTTTCATACCCAAAACATTCGAAAAAATTTCATGGGATGAGCCAATCGATATACCAACATCATCAGCGACTTCTCTGATGGTTTATAACCATTTCTTCCACTTTTTCCATGTTTTTATAGGTTGTTAATGTCCTTGTGCGTTCGGGGCGTTCGTCATCTTCAACGTCTTCACGGCCATCTTGGAAACTCTTATACCACTTGTAAACTCTTGTTTTACTTATAGCAGACTCACTATAGGCCTTTGTTAAAATTTCACAGAATTTATTTCATTTTTTAAGCAAAATTGGATATAAATTCTTTGATCCATTTCTTTTAACGAACGAAAATCGCCGAGCTCATAAAACACGTCTAACCTTAGCGGCTGCCACAGACAAAGTAAACAGTGAAAACAGCTAAAGTTTTTATCATACTTCGGGGGGCATGTATACCAACATAAATTTTATGATAACCGGACCCTCCGAACCCGCGAAATTTAACAATTTCCGTTATTTTCTGAACACACCTCGTATATAACATAAATTGTTGTGAATCCGTATTATTTTTGTACAACTTTTTGTTTGTTTTAGGTTATAGTGGCATAGCAACCGGATAACTACATTTTAAAAGGTAAGAAAAGTAGTTTTTTATTATTATTATTATACACTGTATAATATACAGGGATTAGTTTTATACATTATTTCATTCGGTGATAATTATCAATTATCCAGCATTAAATCCTTTAATTTAAAGGATTATTGAACTATTTTTAATAAAAATACCTCATTTAAGCTAAAAAAAAAACATTATTTTGTCAGTTAATTAATTTAATACTAATTAAGGTATAAAAATGGTATTTAGTTATAAATAATAATTATTATTGAGGTGTAAAGAAACTATTTATAGTTTAGCATTATTTAATCAATTTAGTTAGAATATTAATTTGCAAACAAAAATACCTCCTTTCTTTAAGCAGTTATTCACAATGAATTTTTTAACAGTGGAAGAAAAAATATAAATGATTTTGATTTATGGAGAAGCAGGCAGGAATCTTGATGATGCTGTTAATATCTACGCTCAGCGTTTTCCGGATAAAATTCGATCACTTACTTCATTTCACCGTACAGTCAAGCAGTTTACTACAAACGGGAGTGTTCAACCGAACAAAAGAGTTCGTCGAGCAACAGTCACAGGTGGAAATAATGAAATTAATGTATTAGCAGCAACGGCCGCTAATCCTCATGCAAGCACACGAGAATTATCTAGAGATTTGGGAATATCCCAGAATAAATTTAAAAAATAAAACCAAGTATTTTAATCAAAAATTATTGGAGAATCGTATACAGAAGAAAAATCGAACAAAATTGAATTTTTTCATTAAAGCGCCATCTATTAAACCCTGTATATATACTTATATATAATTAGATGTGGATAAAAACCATTTATAACTTTTATTTTTTGGCCCAACATGAGAGGCATCAAGTGTATTAACCGGGCTGGAGCTAATTAAATGGAAAAAGTTATAATTCTGTGAAGCCTATACTTAAACAAGCTTAGAAAAATTATGAAAACAAAACATTGACATGGTTGTGTACTTAAAACCTTACTGGCAAATAAATATCCACTCTTTACTTAAATGTCACTAAAAAGTTTTTAATTAAAAAAGTTTCGCCTTTCCCCGGATTAACTGTGGAGTTTGTTTAATTTTTTATGTTTTATTCATAAAGTGACATTTTATTACGAGTCGGGCCAAAAAAAAATCCCTTTCCTAACTGACAAAAAAGCCACTTGTAACTTATTTCGCATTCATTTTCTGAGATGGGTTAATTACTTTCAATTTAAATTAAAAGTTTCGAACTCAATGAAGTTAATGTTAAATAATATAAGAAGACTAATAAGAGAAGGAAAGTATTCTTGGTGTTGATGTTTGTCACCTTAATGCGTTTTAATTTTAATTCTGAAAACAAACAGTAAAATGGCCAGTGTCCAATTATTGATTGGTAAAAATGTAAATTTCTATTATTGGACATATTAAGTCCAATATCATACTCTATTCGTATCCCGGACATTTACCAGTCAATTCTTATGTAAAATTGTCCCCTGAATCCAAAAAGACCGTCAAAAACTATAAAAGTTAAGCAGTTTTTGAGATATAGTCAATTCCATATTATATGTAAAATTGATTATATTTTAAAAACTGTTCTATTTTTATAACTTTTGACGAC